TTCTTTGCCTCACCACAATTGTTTTTTGACGAGTTTTTTTTGTAGTCTCAAGTGTCGTTGATTAACTCCTGTAGTTTTTAAGTTACTGCATCTCACTGGTATATTTTCTGTTTTTTTTTCGCTTGAAATTTTGTTCGGCCTAAATGTTTTCAGCTTTTGTTTTGTCGATTTAGTGAACTTATTTTGCATCGGTTTAAAGATGAAAATTGATTTTTCTTAATTTAATTAACTCAGGTCGGTTGGTAGTATGAAAGATAAAAGTTCAAAATCTTTTGTGGTCAACAATTTCTTTTGGTATTTTTTTTTGAATTAATTGGGGTCTAAGCTCGTGTTCTCGCCTTAGTGAACGCTTGGAAACTCTTAAACATTTGTTTAATGCTAGTGGCTATGTCTTTCGGATTTTCTGAGATTTATGTATCGTATATTTCCAAAAAAAAAATTCGATTTTTTTGTTATGGTTGCGATATCCGTTGCCGTTTTTGTTTTCGGGTCAGTTGGCTACTGAACACGTCGTTGGCTTAGTGGATGCTCGAAAAACGCTAGGCTAGTTGAATTCTTGTGGTTGTCTTTCTCAACTGTCTTTCTATGATTTTTTCGTCTTTCCGAAAAAATTGTTGATTTTTCATGACAACAATTTCCGTTAGCATGTTTTGTTTTCGGATCAATTGGCTTCTGAACACGTCGTTGGCTTAATTGATGCTCGAACATCACTGAGCTTGTTTAATTCTAGTGGTTGTTTTTCTCATCTGTCTTTCTATGATTGAATTTTTCGTTTTTCCGAAAAAATTGTTGATTTTTCCTGACAACAGTTTCCTTTGGCATCATTTGTTTTCTGATCAATTGGCTTCTAAACACGTTGTTGGCTTAGTGGATGCTCGAACAACACTAAGCTTTTTAATTCAATTGGTTGTGTTTTTCATCTGTCTTTCTGTGATTGAATTATTTGTGTGTCCGAAAAAATTGTTGACTTTTCATGACAACAATTTCATTGAGGATTTTTTGTTTTCGGATCAATTGGCTTCTAAAGACATCGATGGCTTCATGGATGCTCTAAAAACACTAAGGGTGTTTAATTGTAGTAGTTGTATTTTTCATCTGTCTGTCTATGGTTGAATTTTTTGTATTTCCGAAAAAGTTGTTGACTTTTCATGACAACAATTTCCTTTGACATGATTTGTTTTCGGATCAATTGGCTTCTAAACACGTTGCTGGCTTAATTCATGCTTGAACACCATTAAGCTTGTTTAATTCTAGTGGCTGTGTTTCTCATCTGTCTTTCTATGATTGAATTTTTCGTCTTTCCGAAAAAGTTGTTGATTTTTAATCACAACAATTTCCTTTGGCATTTTTTCTTTTCCGATCATTTGGCTTCTAAACACGTCGTTGGCTTAGCGGATGCTCAAACAACACTAAGCTTGTTTAACTCTAGTGGTTGTGTTTCTCGTCTGTCTTTCTATGATTGAATTTTTCGTATTTCCGAAAAAAATTGCTGATTTTTCATGGCAACAGTTTCCTTTGGCATGATTTGTTGTTGGATCAATTGGCTTCTAAACAACTTGCTGGCTTAATAGATGCTCGAACATCACTAAGCTTGTTTAACTATAGTGATTGTTTTTCGCATCTGTCTTTCTATGATTGAATTTTTCGTCTTTCCGAAAAAATTGTTGATTTTTAATGACAAAATTTTTCTTTGGCATTTTTTCTTTTCGGATCAATTGGCTTCTAAACACGTCGTTGTCTTAGCGGATACTCGAACAACACTAAGCTTGTTTGACTCTAGTGGTTGTGTTTCTCGTCTTTCTATGATTGAGTTTTTTGTATTTCCGAAAAAATTGTTGATTTTTCATGACAACAATTTCCTTTGGCCTTTTTGTTTTCGAAATAATTGGCTTCTGAACACGTCGTTGGCTTAATGGATGCTCTAACAACAGCAAGTTTGTTTTTTTTTCTAGTAGTTTTGTTTCTCATCTGTCTTTCTATGATTGATTTTTTTGTATGTCCGAAAAAATTGGCTTCTGAACACGTCGTTGGCTTAATGGATGCTCTAACAACACCAAGTTTGTTTAATTCTAGTAGTTTCTCATCTCTTTCTATGATTGAATTTTTTTATTTCCGGAAAAATTGTTGATTTTTCATGACAACAATTTCCTTTGGCCTTTTTGTTTTCGGAATAATTGGCTTCTAAACACGTCGTTGGCTTAATGGATGCTCTTACAACAACAAGCTTGTTTTTTTCTAGTAGTTTTGTTTCTCATCTGTCTTTCTATGATTGATTTTTTTGTATTTCCGAAAAAATTGGCTTCTGAACACGCCGTTGGCTTAATGGATGCTCTAACAACACCAAGTTTGTTTTATTCTAGTAGTTTTGTTTCTCATCTCTTTCTATGATTGAATTTTTTTTTATTTCCGAAAAAGTTGTTGATTTTTCATGACAACAATTTCCTTTGGCATTTTTTGTTTTCGGATAAATTGGCTTCTAAAAACATTGTTGGCTTGATAGATGCACGAGCAACACTAAGCTTGTTTAATTCTGGCGGATGTCTTTCTTATCATCTGTCTTTCTTTGGTTGAATTTTTTGTATTTCCGAAAAAATTGTTGATTTTTAATGACAACAATTTCCTTTGGCATTTTTTCTTTTCAGATCATTTGGCTTCTAAACACGTCGTTGGCTTAGCGGATGCTCAAACAACACTAAGCTTGTTTAACTCTAGTGGTTGTGTTTCTCGTCTGTCTTTCTATGATTGAATTTTTCGTATTTCCGAAAAAAATTGCTGATTTTTCATGGCAACAGTTTCCTTTGGCATGATTTGTTGTTGGATCAATTGGCTTCTAAACAACTTGCTGGCTTAATAGATGCTCGAACATCACTAAGCTTGTTTAACTATAGTGATTGTTTTTCGCATCTGTCTTTCTATGATTGAATTTTTCGTCTTTCCGAAAAAAATCTGATTTTTCATGGCAACAGTTTCCTTTGGCATGATTTGTTGTTGGATCAATTGGCTTCTAAACAACTTGCTGGCTTAATAGATGCTCGAACATCACTAAGCTTGTTTAACTATAGTGATTGTTTTTCGCATCTGTCTTTCTATGATTGAATTTTTCGTCTTTCCGAAAAAATTGTTGATTTTAAATGACAAAATTTTTCTTTGGCATTTTTTCTTTTCGGATCAATTGGCTTCTAAACACGTCGTTGTCTTAGCGGATACTCGAACAACACTAAGCTTGTTTGACTCTAGTGGTTGTGTTTCTCGTCTTTCTATGATTGAGTTTCTTGTATTTCCGAAAAAATTGTTGATTTTTCATGACAACAATTTCCTTTGGCCTTTTTGTTTTCGAAATAATTGGCTTCTGAACACGTCGTTGGCTTAATGGATGCTCTTACAACAACAAGATTGTTTTTTTTTCTAATAGTTTTGTTTCTCATCTGTCTTTCTATGATTGATTTTTTTGTATTTCCGAAAAAATTGGCTTTTGAACACGTCGTTGGCTTAATGGATGCTCTAACAACACCAAGTTTGTTTAATTCTAGTAGTTTTGTTTCTCATCTCTTTCTATGATTGAATTTTTTTTTATTTCCGAAAAAGTTGTTGATTTTTCATGACAACAATTTCCTTTGGCATTTTTTGTTTTCGGATAAATTGACTTCTAAAAACATTGTTGGCTTGATAGATGCACGAGCAACACTAAGCTTGTTTAATTCTGGCGGATGTGTTTTTTATCATCTGTCTTTCTTTGGTTGAATTTTTTGTATTTCCGAAAAAATTGTTTATTTTTCATGATAACAATTTCCTCTAGCTTTTCTTATTTTCGGATCAATTGGCTTGTAAACACGTCGTTCGCTTAATGGATGCTCTTACAACACCAAGCTTGTTTAATTCTAGTAGTTTTGTTTCTCATCTGGCTTTCTATGATTGAATTTTTTGTATTTCGGAAAAAGTTGTTGATTTTTCATGACAACAATTTCCTTTGGCCTTTTTGTTTTCGGAATAATTAGCTTATAAACACGTAGTTGGCTTAATGGATGCTCTAACAACACCAAGCTTGTTTAATTCTAGTAGTTTTGTTTCTCATCTGTCTTTCTATGATTGAATTTTTTGTATTTCCGAAAAAAATTGTTGATTTTTCATGACAACAATTACATCTGGCCTTTTTGTTTTCGGAATAATTGGCTTCTAAACACGTCGTTGGCTTAATGGATGCTCTGACAACACCAAGCTTGTTTAATTCTAGTAGTTTTGTTTCTCATTTGTCTTTCTATGATTGAATTTTTTGTATTTCCGAAAAAATTGTTGATTTTCATGACAAGAATTTCCTCTAGCATTTCTTATTTTCGGATCAATTGGCTTCTAAACACGTCGTTGGCTTAGTTCAACTCTATTGGTCGTGTTTCTCGTCTGTCTTTCTATCATTGAATTTTTCGTATTTCCGAAAAAATTGATGATTTTTCATGGTAACAATTTCGTTTGACGTTATTTGTTTTCGGATCAATTGGCTTCTAAACAGGTTCTTGGCTTAGTGGATGCTCGAACAACACTAAGCTTGTTTAATTTTAGTGGTGTTTCTCATATGTCCTTCTATGATTGATTTTTTCGTATTTCCGAAAAAATTGTTGATTTTTTCATGACAATAATTTCCTTTGGCATGTTTTGTTTTCGGATCAATTGGCGTCTTACAACGTGTTGTTGGCTTAGTGGACGCTGGCAAATTACTAAAAGCTTGTTTCATGCTTGTAGTCGCATATATCGTCTGTTTTTTTTCTGAGGTTGAACTTTTCATATCTCCAAAAAAAATGTTAATCTTTTAAAGTTTTTTTTGTCAATTAAGTTATTTAGAACTCGCAGACTTTGTGGTAGCTTGCAATGCTACGCTTTCGTTGCTTCGCAAGTGATTCAAAACTCTGCTTTGCCTCTGTGTAAAAAGTTCCATTTTAGCAGAACACCAAAAATGCAATCGCTATCTACTGCCATATTTGAGCGATGTTTCTGTTTGTTGATATTACCTGTCAACTTCCTGTTGTCTTTCTCCGCCTCTTCCAACTTCTCCTCCAAGTCCCTCACTTTGGCCTCTTGCATCTTCTCGATCTCTTTGATCCTCTCCAATTTCTCAATCTGCTCATCAACCGCTTCCACTGTGTCACTAATAGCACCTGAAACACGCCAAAAAATGACAGGTAATTGTTTTCATCTTTCAAATTAAATGCGGTTATTTTGAGAGTTGGCTTGAAAATTATGTTGAAAAATAACATGTCTAATTCCTCTGAAGACGTATAGTAATTGAGTTTAATTTTTTACGGCCATAAACCTATGTTTTAGTTGATTTTTGTTCATTTAAAAATATTTTGGTATGCATTTTAATTGGATCCACAGTTCGCTAAAAATCATATCTAAAAAGAGGTTTTGAAATAGTTTGTGACAAACGTTAAAAAATTAATTTTGCAAATAGTTTGTTTAGCTTTTTTTGCGCTTTTCAGCTTGTCCTTTTTTTTGGGCTAGCTGCCGTGCCATTTTATGTTGTATCGCAAGTGATGCGAAGCTCCGCTTCGCTTCTGTGCTTCCTTTTTGATATCAAGAGTGTTGCAACGGGGTACTAAATTTTTTCCCATAAATGTATTTATCTACAGGATGACGTAATTGGTGATCATCTTCAAATCTGTATATTCGTTAAATTTTGAGCATGTCTGTTTTTTAAATTCTCGTCCAATTCAAAATTTCTTTTTATGTTGAATGTAATATTATTATGTCGATTTGTTGAAGTTCAATTTTTCTATTATACTTATAGGTTTTGGCCATTATTATATCGACTTAGTAGCCTCATATTGATGTGCGAGGAAATTTTATGGTTGCGCTTGTGCATATTTTGAGGGGGATAAGGCCAAAGGCTTTTTTTAGTTTTAAAGTCCTTTTGATTTTTTTTAGCTAAGGGGATTTTTGCTCAATTTTTTTACTGTGTTACTGCTTGTTAAATTTGCTTTTTTTCTCCTTCTATCGTCTGCTTTAGTTTTTTTTAACTTTCTTCCTTCTTTTTGTTTGGTCTAGTTTTTAGATTTTTTTGATTTCTTTTTCGGTAGCTTTTCTTGTATTGAATCGCAAGTGGCGCGAAGTTCTGCTTCGTCTTGGTGTTGAAATTTTGATTTTAAATGAATTTTTCAAATCTGAAAAAAAAAACTAAAAACCCAATTTTCAGATATGAAATTTGATTTGAAATAACGTATTCCGGGAAAAGTTGATTTTTTGGACTTTCGTTTGTCTCCTTATGTTTTCTTGGCTTCGTTGCCGCAATGCCGAGTCTTTTTGTGGTGTAATTCTTTTTCATTTCAGTTGCAAGTGTTGTTGATTCACAACAAAGTTCTTTAACCCTGATATAGAAGTAGCATTTTATCTTTTATTTTTTCCTCGCTTAAACTCTCTTCGGCCTAAAAAGTTTCGACCTATGTTTTTTTAAAAGTATTCTGCTTGTTTTTTTTGTCGTTCGAAGATCAAAAATTGTTTTTAGAATAATCTAGTTCGGTTGCGGTGTAAAAGTTCAAAGTTTTATTTAAAATTTAATCGCGGAAACTTTTTTCATAATAAGTTTTTTATAGCATTTTTTGTTTTTTGGCTCAATATGCGTCTATCAACGTGTTGTCGAATTAGTGGCCGCTCGGCGAAGACTCAAAGCTTTTTTGACTGGTGTTTGTTTTTCTCATCTGTTATGCTTGAAACTTTTTTTCGATTCGTTATTTTTGTTTGAATATCTATTCGCTGGCTTGCAGAGCTTGCTTGCGTTTGTTGCTAATGATACGAAACTCCGCTTTGCCTCTGTGTTAGAATAAGGTTAATGCGTGGTAGACAAACTTCACAAATTGTTTCACATACAGTTTTAAATGAAAACTTTAGTCCACCTGTTCTGAAAAATTTGAATTTTTTAATTAATCTTTTAATCTTATTCAAGCGCTTTCTAGCATAAGCTAAAAGTAATGGAACAACAAATTTGCGTCAAATCATACTTATTTTCACATTTGAATTTTTTATGAAAAACAAAATTTCATATCTGAAATAAGTTGTTCTGGAAATTTTGTCACTAGCTTTTTCTCACACAATCCACAATACAACGCGAGATTGCTGGTTTATTTCAGTCATATTTCTACAAAAAGTTCCCCATAGCTCTTATTTTTGAATTGGTAGTGTTTTAATGGAAGTTACTGAAATATGCAAGACCAAACTGGGGTTTTAAACATTCGCACATTTATTTTGATACGATAGAAATAAGCGTGCCATACATCAAGAAAATCTAATGAAATTTCGATGACTAGCATTTTTTATGCTATGAAACTGTAAGACTAGCATTGATTCATAAATTTCGTGTATGAAAATGTATTACTAGCATCTTGTTTTTGAAATCAGGGAATGAGTTTGCAATAAAGCTGGGTTGAATAAATAACTTTATCTCAATGTAATTTTTGAGCAAAAATGAAACTCACCTTTTGTATCTTCGATATTTTTGATGTAGCGTGCATGAAGTTTCTCCGCTTCGCTTAAGTCGTCTCGCGCCTTTTGCAACATCTTTTTCACCCCGTCTATTTCCTTTTTCAAGTAAACTCTCTCTTTGTCGGCTTTTGCTTCGGCTTTATCTGAATCTTGCTCGCTCTTTTCTTGATCTTTCAACGTCTTCATTAATTCAGTTGCTGTTGTGTTATGTGCTTGGAGTAAATTCACTATGACTTGGTTTTCCAATTGTAGTTTTTGGCTCAACTTAGGGTCTGTATCTTGAACGTAAGATAATTCAGTTTTGAGTTTTTCATTGAGTGTTTGAGCTAGCTGGAGTTTCGCTTTGATACGGGTTTCCTAAAGAATCAAAAAAACAATGAAATAATTACAAAAAACCAACAAAGCACGATTGAGGGCATTCCGCAGCCTATTATTACTTTGATTTCGGAAAATAAAATTGAGAAAAACAAATAATGAAAAAAAAACCGTTGTTACGGTTTGCTATTATATATTGTTTGCTTTCAAATTGCTTGAAGTGTGGTCAGTAAATGGGTCAAAATTTATATTTCCTAGGTGAAAAAATCGTGCTCAATAAAACTCATAATTCCTTGTGAGTACATATTTCTATTTTCGTGAATTGTTTCTTTACCTGTCGGCGTTTGAATGCGACATGCCATTGTAGTTCGACGATGTCCACAGAGCAGGCTTCGTGTTCCCGTTGCACTGCAAATGGAAGTTCCTTCAGTCGCTTCTCAACAAAGTCGTCCAGCCGTTTTTGAAGTCTAATTCAGAGAAAAAAATAAGATTTAGCAGAGAAAAAATAAGAAAAGCAGAGAAAAATAACATTTGGAATAAATTAATTCAATGAGTAGAATGAGAGTTTATATTTTGGTTTCCAGATTCGTAAAAAAGTTGTGTACAAGAAAAACTATAAGTCTTGATTACAAGATACTTGATAGTTGTGCAAGTAGCACAGATTGTTCTGACCGATTTTTTTGTATTCCATTGTTCAATTGATTTGAAAAGCGGTGTTCTCTTATTTGAATTTTTCCTGGAAAACTATCCTTAATGTTACTCTACAACCATTAAAAAATCTCAATTTCTAATAAAATTTTTTGACACAATTTTTGCGTGCTGCGATGTGCGAGAAATTAATTTTTGATGCCAAAAAGAGCAGCTTTCAAATAATTAACTACGTTGAGATTCGTTGACAGAACAGTTTGGCTTTAACTATATAATTCCAGTGTTTTTTTGTTTTGTTACCTTTGTACTTGTGATCTTTCCCGTTCTAAATCCTCTTTGATCTGATGTTTGTCCTGTTCCAGTTTCTTCATAATTGAGGCAATCTCAGTCAACACAGAGTGAGCATGCGTTTCAGCATCATCCGCAGTATTGGACGCACCTGAAAGAAAACAAGACTGCTCGTATATCAGGAAAAGCCCTGAATATTTCGACTGTCCCGCAATTCATATCGAATAGCTTTGGGAAAAGAAAATATTGAAAACTTAAAAATTTTGGACAATATCCAAGTATGAAATGTTGAGTTGTTCGAAATTAATACTACCGATTTGCTAGCCTCAATTCAATTTGGAACGATTTTTTTTCTGCGGGATAAATCGCCGGTGACAGGACAAAGTATCCCATACGAAAGTATCCCATTACAAAATATGCCATACCAATATATCCCAATGGACACAATAGCCCATACCAAAATAGCCCACGTCAATTAAAATATCCCATAGAGGATTTAAAATTAATTTATAATATAGATTACCAAAGATTGGTGCATATATCTATATCGCAATTAAAAAGAGATTTAATTTAACTGCCTCAATTATTTCGAGACGCCATATAGAGATGGCGCTAATGGTAAAAGACTTTTTTCTACGGATTAAATGTTATTTTTCAACCTGTTAATGGAGTCATAATTAAGAAAATTTTGATAATGAAACACAACGCAAAGACACATCATTAAACACATAGCACCAATACAATGAACACCAATATGACAGAATTTATCTACGGTAAAACTCAACAAAGCAAAGCGTTGCTTATCTTGGACGGACACGAGTTCGCTGAAAAGCGAGACATCAAATCTACCACTCACTGGCGTTGTGCAAAATGGCGTTCACATAAACGCCCAATGTCTCTAATAACTTGCGACGAAACCATTATTTCGTTCAATCACGAGCACAGCCATGAGTTTAACCCCGGTCGCGTAGAAGCAAGGCAGCTAGTTAGTCAGTTGAAAGAAACAGCAAAGTCGCACATCAATCCTGTAAACAACCAGTTGATAGCAGCTAGCCTCAAGACTGAACAATAATCCGGTAATTCAGCTTTCACTTCCTTCACGTGCAGCCCTGACAAGAACCCTCAATAGAAACAAAATGCAAGGACCACTCGAAGTGATTTTATCGACCGACCGTCACTCGACATTCCCGATAAATATTTGCCTTTTTGTCTACAAGATAGCGGTAAAGAAGACAGTGAGCGATTCCTTATTCTCGGGGACATGGAAAATTCAATTCATACGTTTTAAGAAAAAATTCAGCTTGGTTCTTACAACCAGAAGTTCAATATTCTGAAAGCAACCAGCGGTATCACCAATCAAACCCGTAAAAAGTACCGAGAACTCATTGAAAAAGTCCGAATGATAACAAACTCTTAATTTAACTTCATCTAGATTTCATTTTATCAAATTGTCGGCATAATTTTCTCAAATCAAGAAATATTTGATCAAGAGTCATATTCTTTAACCATATTGCCCAGTGAGCTTAGAAAGTCATATCTTTATGCTTTGATAGTTCAAAAGATTGGTAGAATTAAAATGTGAATTGAAATTTTCACGCTTTGAACTGAATTTGATTTCACGCGCTTTTTCAAATGTTAGCATTGCTTTCATCGGTTTGTTCAATTTCGGCATCTTGGTTTCAATTCCTTTGATTATTCTATTGCGATATTTTAATTGTTTCCATTCCTCAGATGGGATATTTTAATTAGCGTGGGCTACCTCGTCCTGGGCTATTTTTACTTCTGGGATAATTTTGACTGGGATAACTTCGCCTGGGATAAAAAAGTAAGGGATAAATTGTCATGAAACCAAATCGCCAAGCATTAATAATTCGCGTTACGCTCTCAGCAATATGAAGAAATTCTTCTAAGCGCGCATTGTTTATTCCAGAACATGGTCATTTTGGCAATTTTTAAACCCCCAGAACTTTACAAAAAATAATCGGAGGTAAAATATCTTTTTAAATTTGAACTTGGCAAGTCGATATCTTCAGTGGGGTATCAAAACCTTACTACAAAAACTTTTACTTTGATCGGCAAAAATTGACTAAAAAAAAATAAACCACACCGAGCATAAATATTCCGTTTTCTTCGAAATTCAGAACAAATATGAGTGATAACGTATTAACGGTAACATCCCAAATGGCAGAGTTTCCAAATGAAATAAAAATGAAATTTTTCCCAAATGACAATTCAAGTTTTCATTGTAATTCAAACGTTTTCTTTCAATTTCTAATTCTAACTTTTTGGCAGGAACGAAAACTTTTGTCTGAACAAGATTTGGAGTTAATTGCTTCCAAACAAATGTTAAGCAACAAAGTTGTCGGAAAAATTGACTACAAGAAGCTTATCAATAACCGTAAGCTTATGCTTTTCGCTTTTGATAAAAAAAATTCTTCAATTTAAAATTAAGTCAAATCAGGTATTCTAATACGTTTTTTTTTTAACTTAATTCCTTATTTTTGGCAAAAATGTTATTAACTTGAAAGTGCGTCGCAAGTTTTTGCCCTTGTGAATAATTGAATAATTCAAAGTTAAAAGTCTGGATTTATAAAATTAATTATCTCAATAAATGATATTGTTACCATGTTGATGATGCTGATGTTGAGTCGGACCCCCTGACGAAGACGAGGTCTGTTGGAACTGCTCGAGAATCAGCTGCAGCTGGTCAGCATAGTCTTTTGACCGCAACACTCCAGTCGCTGTACTCTTCAGAACCGGATGGCAGGCTCCTGAAATCAAATTAAAGCTGGTTTTTTGAAAATCCTTTGGAATGACTTATTCCTGTTTCAATGCCAGTCAAAATCCAAAAACGACATATTTGCTCAAAAACATGACAACGTTTTTTGAGCTGAAAAACGGTTCCTGGCCCAAACAGATTTGCAGTGCTCATCGTAAACTGCTCAGAGGCATCTCTCGATTTGGACTCTTGCGCTAAGTAATGGATGTAAACTGGGTATTAGAATTTTTTCCCGTAAATAACTTTGTTCACATCTTTTTATCCGACACTTTTTAAAAACCAAAAAGCGGGAAAACTTAAAAACCAAAAAAATGTAAAATTTTTCATTTGTTTTGGGGTAATTTTTCTTTTCAGGGAAATGGATTTTAGTCGCTACTGAATTTTTTTGCTATTGTTTGAGTGGCGTGTTGTGTTTATCAAATTTTTTTCTGTAAAGATAATTTCGCTTACGATTAGCAAGCGTTGTCTAATCAGATTTTAGACTTTTTTCGTGTTATCAACTAGTTCAACAGAATCACTTGAATCATTTTACCTTTGATTCAATTGAAATCAAAGCTTAATTTGAGCATATGGCGTAAATGCAACTCAACTGCCTATAAAGACAAAAGTGAATGGTTCGAATCCGGCCAGGATCAGTTTTTTTTTGCAAATGGAAAATAGTTCGCGAGTCAAAAAATTTTCGTCGGACTACTGTTTGTCTGCTTGTTTTTTTTGTCGGCTAAGTTGCCAGAGCAGCAAATTTGCCTGAAGTTTAGACATTTCTTACTTGTATTGGGCTTTTTTTGTGGGCATGAAATTAAGTTTCAAGAAGTTTCCATTTTTTGAATTTTTTTTGCTTTTATTTAAAAAGTTTGGAATTTGTTTTCTTCATAAATTCAAGGTGTGTTCTGTGTATCTAGTGCAGATGTAAGACCTTTGCTAGATACGACAAAGTCCGGAAATTCGATTACACCCGGGGTTTTTGCAAACCCTTGATTGAGGTTGCTGGCTTTTTTCACATAACCATCTTTATATTCAGGAGTGTTTAAGTTTTTTGTTTTTTTTTCCTCACAAACTCAGCTATCACAAATAAAAGTCTACCACCAATTTTTTTTTATGAATATGGTCGTAGCATCATGTGCTGCTTGCTTAGCAACCGGCTATCCTTGTTTTCTTATGGAAGCGCTAGAGTTGCCTTTTCAAATTATTAATTGATTTTAAAATATGACGAGCAATTAAAAAAATTAATACCTGGAATGCTGCTGACATCAGATGACGCGTCATCATCATCATTCAAAGTATGTCTGGCGCCGTAGTACACATTCATACCATTATAGTCGTCGTCTCCATCATTGCCAGAAAACAGGACTTGTGGCAGCTTTTGGGTTGCAATTTGGGTCGATAATGAAGGCTGGCTGTAATCCGATTGATGGCTGAACTTAACATCTCCTTCCATGGTTTAATGTTAGTTATAACCAGATTGATTTTAATAAAATCAAATTTTAATAAATGTAAGTTTTTTTTCTGAAATAGAAAAAATGGCTGAAGGATATTTCAGTCGGTCAATTTAGGATCAAACAGCTAACGAAACAGCTATTTTTTTTAGTTTTAAAAATATAGGAGATAAATTTGAGGTTCAGGTGCATTTGATATGTAAAAATGTGTATTTTGCGTTTATTTTAATAACTGGATTTGTGCGAAACGCACGTGCCGTTTTGTATTACAGCTTTCTATTTTGATTAGTCGTTTTATCTTCGTTATGTGGTAATTCTCTTCAGCCGTAAAAATTATTCTGTATTTTTTAACGCTTTTGTAATGCGGCTAGAATGTTCTCTGTTCTGTAAAAGTGAGCTTACCTGGTTAAAATAATCTTATGCGTACAGATTTTCTTACACGTGTGCTAAAAATTTACAAGGATTTTTTTCTCTCAATAAATGTTAGATCTTGAAAAACGTTTAGAAGGCTAAAAATCTACCGTTTTAATAATCTCGATTGTGGTTAATAATATCAGCATGATAAATATTTTGTCTTTTACATCAAATATTTTTTACGCCAGTTATTCGATGGTTTCTTTATTCGCGTCATTTATTTGATGAAAATTATCGTTATTTAAAAATCATTGTATCTTTTGAAAGAATAATGCTTAAATCAGACTGATATACGTAGAGACTTACACGTAAAAAGCAACTGTCGTATATTTTATGTGAACATCGCAAACACTCTGTGCTTTAAAATTTTAAAATTGTACGTGGCATAATGTACATTGGTTAAAAAAGTCCACCTTCTCATTTTTTTAAATCGACATTTTGGATCTTAAAACCGGCAATTTGTTGTAGGCTAATTGTTTGATAAACGATAGTTTGATTACCTTGAGTCAGTAATTCGTAGTTTTATCAGAGGAAGTTAACGCAATGTCTCGAAAGATGATAAAGAAGTGTATTTAGTTTTTTTTTCACGGCTACCTTTCATTTATTTTCCACGGCTACCGTTTGTTGATTTTCCAGAGAGACTTCAAACAATCAAATTTGATTCAATCTGTAAGTTTTATTATTTTTTTTTGAGTTTTTTCCTAATTTTTGTCAATAATTACTTCTTAGTTACAATTCTGGCTACTATTCAAAGCTAAATGTGCTTGATTCTTGGATGCAACAAATTAGCGCAACATTTTCTTAACTGATAGCATTCAGTTTTACCTTATCTGAACAGAAATCTCTCCTTTCAACCGACTTCGTCAAATTTATTTATTGAAAATTTTTGATAGAAAATTATTAATTGAAAATTTATTTATCAAAAAATTATTTGACAGATTTTTAATTAAAATTTTCTATGATCTGGGTTACTTATGTTTCAAGGGAGCTCTAGTTCACTAGAAATTTTTGATTTGTAAAGTTGAATTTGAGCACAAATTTCATTGCAAATTATTTTCTTTGTAATAACCATTTTTTTTAAACTGATTATTTGATTGGTGACCGCGATGGCTGATCGATACGAGAAGATTGAAAAGATAGGAGAGGGGAGTTATGGCCAAGTATGGAAAGTCAAATTGAGAGACGATCCAGCCAACTCCAAAAACAAGGTAAATTAATTTACTAACCGCTCTGACAAAATGGATTAACATCGTTTTTAATTATAAAAATGGACAGACAAGAAACTATGGATTTAATCGATTTCAAATCGATTTTGAATTGATTGAATATTAAAGCTAAAAGATTGATTCAAGTCACCCTTTTTGTTTTCTTAAAGTTTCAGTATATAACCATCTTTTACTCAATTTCAATCACTTTAAATTGATTTAAATGCTTTTTTGTTAGTTCATTTTATGAAAAAAAAATTGAAATAAAATTCATTTAAATTAATTTAAAACCCATTGACGTGGATTTAAATCTATTTGTATTGATTTTGTCGTCCGACATCACTGAAAAGGGTTTTAATATCATGCCACACACGGAAAAATCAGACGGAAAAAACAAATCCACTCCGTGAAGTGGTTAGAACAAAAACCAGTATCAATGAGCTTTTCTTACTAATTTTTCTCAGTATCCTATTGAAACTATACCTACTGAGAATTGGCTATGTTCAGTCAGTCCTCTTGGATATACTCTTTAAAAAATAATAGTTTTTTCGCCCTTAAAATCCTGCTTTTGGCTGCTAGTATTAATGAATGCAAGGAAAAACACTGAAAGCCAAACACTGAAAAGAAAATTTGATCTACCTTTACTTTGTATTTTGGAGTTTTTTGTCATTTTTTTGAAATGGTTTGCCTAATTTAGTTCACATGAAATGCAAATAGTTAAAATGCAAATAAAATCAGGTGGAGGGGTGGTGAAATGGTTAAATCTCCGTCTTTGAACTGAGAGTTCGAGACCCCATTGATCTGTGCTTTTTGCTTGAGGGTTACGCCACATTACACAGCCCAGAAAAACATTTATAAACGTGCATTTTTTTTCTGAAACAAGTGGTTCTGAGTAAAGAGGTGAACAGCTTGTAGATTGTTTCAACCCGTTTTTCCCTTATCGAAAGTACGCACCATCTTAAAAAATTATTGAATATTTGCAGGTTCCGTAAAAACTGGATCCATATTTTGTTTTAGTTCGTTCTGAAATTAATCAGGCTGGAGAAAGCGAACAAGAAGGAAAGAGAGTATGCGGAACAAGAGGTTAAACTTCTCAAGACACTCAGTCACCCCAACATAGTCTCATTCAAGGTGGGGGTTTGATACATGCTTTGATACTAGTGGCAAAACAGAAGCAAGCTGATTTGTATGAAGACTGCCTTTGCTTTTTCGTTTTATGAATGGCTGTTTGTCTATAAAAGGTTTGAATGATTGCGATTACCTAGCGTTTTCGAATCGGAACATACGTTTTTCCCGTTAAACAAATTGTCTCATGTAATCCTTCAATCAGTTCAATTGCTTACTTTAAAAAGTAATATCTAGCGATAATATGCAGAGCAGGGGCGACAAAGTTCTCGAGTTCAAATCCCACCAGGAAGTCTCAAAAACTTGTCTTGAAAATTTTTTCGGGCATTCGTTTGTCTGCTCACTTTGTCTGGGCATAGTTGCCACTGATGCTATTTCTTTTGATTTGAGCAATTTTCACTATAAATAATTGTCATTTTTGATTCAGTCATGTAATTAGTAATTTTTTCCTATCTGCTTTTGTATATTTTAGTTTTTGGTTTGGTTTTTTGGTTTTTTTTGCTTAAAAATTTTGTCTGAAATTTCAGCTTTCATTATATCACTTTAGTAACCCAATTTTAGGTTGTTTGAAAAAATATTATTTTTTAACCTTATGTTTTTCCCAAAGAGGCTTTCAAACCTCTTAGCCCAAAATTTTGATTACAACAATTCTGTTTTCGGCTCAACTGGCGTCTACTCCAGTTTTGACGGCTTAGTTGCCGCTTGATTACTCTAGCGAGTAGCTAGTGTTTTTGTAAGAACTTTTTTTTCTAAGCTAACTCGCAAAGGACTCACTTGTGTGCCTTTTTTCAATAATCACGATCTGTAGCATTGGAAATTTCATAAAGTATGTTCTCGGCTTTATTTGTGGCTAGTGTTACTGATAGACTAAGCATCCGTCGCTGAGTGGTTAGTGCGTGAGACTCGTAACTTCTAGACCGCAGTAGGTCGTAGGGTCGAGGCTGATTTTTACTTTTTTATTGCTTTTTTTAGAACTCTGGAGCTGCTTTTTGTCGGGTTCTCGCTAGTGTCTTCGAAGGGCAGCTTTGCCTTGTTCAAGTATTTTTGATTGATTTTTGAACGTTAACAAATGTGTTTGTCCGTCTTTTTTAAAATTTAAAATCATTCGAGACAAACGTATGAAATTTTGTAGATGTTTTTTTGACAGTTTGAAAATGTTTTAATCGATTCATTTTTTGTCCGGTAGCTATACTCTTGTGGTATCAATGTGTGCCTCAGTGTAAAAAAACTCAAACTCCTGCTAGGGATATGTTGGGTAGCCTTTTTAGTAGAGCTGAATTGCAAAAATCCTTGATTACCTCACCGGCATTTAATGGATAAAGTTTGATTATATGGGAAAATTTTGTCTAAAATATTGTCATTTTAATTCATGATTGTTGCGAAATAAAACCATACAATCGATTATATTGTCATTGTTATCAATAATTTCTGTAGCAAAAAAAAACATTAAAATCCAATTAAATGAATCATAATCTATTTGAAATTTATTATACGTGATTATAATAGATAAAATCTTTCTTTTTGCAAAATTCTTTGCAAAACTTGCAACAACATCTGAATTACTCATGGCTTACTCAAAATTTTCGTAACGCCAGCTCTCCCTTTCTTCGTTTACATTTACTCTGCCCTCAGTTTATTCTCCCCCATGTTTACCCCTATGTTATTTGTCCCCGCGTTTACCGCACACACATGGAGGTGGGATAAGTGTGTGGGGGGGGGGGGCTAAACAGAGGAAAGTAAACGAGGATGTGTAAGCGCGCGGCGGTGTAAACGTTTGGGATGCACGCGTTGAGGGGGTGGGGGGTTGAGTAAACGTGGCCTGGGGAGTGATACGTGGTGGGTGCGGGGGGGGGGGGGGGGGTTGTCACATGCCGAAAGGACGACAGGGGACGTTAATTGACTAAAGTAAAGATCAGCAAATAATTGCGAATTTTAAAAATTTATGAGAAAAAATTGTGAACCAAAAAACTGAAAGCAAGAGATTTATTTCCTAAGCCAAGGTAAACCTAGTTTTGACTGATGTCACGTATATCAACTCAAATTTACAAAATTTAACTGTTAGTTTTTGAATATACTGCATTGGGCTCGAAACTTTCAGAATAATTTTAAAACGATGATTATAATCCAATATAATTGATTCTAATCAATTAAAATGGATTTTGTTGGCAAAAGTTAAGGTTATAATCCATTTTTAATCAATTATAATAGATTTTATAAAAAAAAAATTTAGAAACTGGCAAAGAAAATCAAATCCAATCGAAATTTGTCCATGAACCAAAATGCAGTGCGAGTTGCGACCAAGAGATCACTTTTTTTTGTTGTTATGCCATTTGCTTTTGATAAACTTCCTTGTGATATCGAACAAAAAGCTCTTTAGAACAGTTTGAGACTGTCGTTGAAAGATTTGATTGAGATGTGTAAATAAGTAGCCAACTCTTAGCGAGTCCGTACTTACAATTCAGGATCACTTCTGGTATGACTCGAAACAGACGCAGCTGGGGATAGTGATGAGTTTGTGTGAGGGGGGAGACCTCTACAAGGTGCTGAAGAGCAAGAAGGGAGGGGGAAAGTTAAGCGAACATGAAGTGATGCAGTGGTTCATTCAGATTGCACTCGCAGTTCAGGTAACAAATGTGACGTGATTAAAAAGGTTCCATAATGTTACGTAACTAAAAAGGGATTCGTATTATATGTTACGTAACTAAAAAGGGATTCGTATTATATGTTACGTAAGTAAAACGGATTCGTTTGATATGTTACGTAATTTTACGGTTCCTGTAATGGTTTTGTACCTCTTTAATGTGGAGTTTTTTCTCGTATTTCTAAATTATATTTTTCTCAACTTAACTTAAAATTTAATTCAAGTATCCTCAATGATGTTCTGTCAATATTCGATGATGTTCTGATAAAACGACTACTTGTAATTTTATTTTACTACAGGCGCTAAGATAATTAAAATAACAAAAAAATTGCTTTTTTGAATTGCGGTAATTGATTTGTATTTACGAAAAAGATTAAACCGAACAGTTTTTTTGTCTGCTGAAGATAAAATTAATACCATGCACAAAAAAGCCTGCGGATCATTTTCTCAGAAATACCTTTTTATTCATACAGTTTTTATTCTCGACTACACAAGTTGAATGCTTTTATTAAAGTAGTTCATCAAATAATATTAAGTTAAAATATGATACGCCCATAGTGTTTATAAGAAAACGCGCAAAATCAGCCCCCTAACATGTTCCGGATTTGAGTGTTTTTAGTATGAATGAAAGGAATTTGCATTAATTTAGCTCGCCTGTTTTTTTTACAGGCGAGTTTTTTGTGCAACTGTGTTTTGAAATGTTTGCGGTGACCGGCAAATACGGCGACAGCCGTTAAGACGACAACCGTTTCTGATGGAAATTTTTAGACTAAGTACAATTCTGAGAAATACAAAACGCAAAATGGATTGTCTGAGAAATATAAAACAAAAGTTGTAACAATTAAGAACGCATTAACCATTTTTTCCCGTTTTCGGTCAAAATGAGGCCCGAAAAGAAATTATCGGCAGCTAAATGAGAAAATAACTTGGCTAAAATTTTCGTTTTCAGGTGGTTCGTTATCTGTAAAAATTTATTGGGATATGGCATTGCTAGTATTTGTAGTAATTTTGGATGCTAATACATTCTTGTCGTCATAATGTCCTGTCGCTTTAATTGCCCTGCACCTTTAATTACTTTATAAATCGGGTAAATTTTTCTTGTTTTGTTTGGTTATTTCCAAAAATGTTACAATTCAAAAATTGATCTCATGTGTTGTTGGATATCTTAAACTATATCCCCCTTTTGGAAAAGAGGGGATATTCGTTACCTGGTTTATAATTCTCATATGCTTAACCATTGATTTATTTTTTCTAGGGGATATTCGGTTCTAGGTACCCGAGGGGGAACATAGTTAAGGAGCTCCCAAAGAGTGACTTAAAAAACTGGCCAATTCAAACGAAGTGGTTTATCAATCCATTTTTAGATTGTTTTTCCGAATAAATCTGATTCGTGAAACACGTAGTATATTGAAATATGTTCAAATGTTTCCTTTAGATTTTTGACACTTATCCAGCTGCCTTTTGGCTATATTTACAGAAGCGATGACCAAGTTTTATCGAATCGAGTACTAGAAAATTTTGTACAAATTTGCTTGTCTAACAGAAAAGTATCTTCATTTTAAACTTTTGGTACTACTATGATAGAGTGGTCCCTCGAAGAAGCAACTAATCACGCAAGGTGCCTCGATATTTTGCATGTAATAGTTTGAAAACCATTTTGTGTATAAAATATTCATTTCAAAAATCTCGCAAAGTAAGTTGAGTCAGAAACTTTTCAGATTGAAAATTTTAATTACCATATTAATTATATCCAGAACTATGCTCGCTTCAACATATATTGCAATTTAACAACCAAAATTGGGTTAATTTATTTGAAATCAAAATTCAATGCTGGCTTTTTTTTTAAATTTTGCAACTTAAAACGGGGAGGTTTTACGAAATAGCGAATCTTCTAATTTGTTTGAAAATGGACTGTTTTTCTGTAACTTTGCTTCTTCTTTATTTTCCCCGTGCCTCATTTTCAACTTTGTCTTGGTTCACTTCCTTCAAATCATTTCAATAGTCAGCTGGCAATTGGGTTACAAGTGAAAAATTTGAAAGATGATGTTATTAGGTTTAACTGCTGTCGGTAAGAGTGGGTGGTTTTATGTCCATATGTTTTTTGACTTGTTGCTTAATCTTTTTTGACATTTTTGGTGTTTGCTTTGGAGCCATCTGCTTTGTTGTTGCATACTTTTTGGGGATTTTTTTTCGTAACATGAACTTAACCAGTTCAAATGCTACTTTAAGATACTCTAACAAATAGTTTTTGATATAAAAAGATTTCGGCGACTGATTTTTTTCTTTTGTGGCTCGATGTTTGAGAGTTTTCGCAAGCTGGAGGTTTCATTTTTTTCTTGTAAATATGGCTGTTAAATTCAATTTGTTCACCATCAAGTGAACAAAAAACTCAAATCTTTGTTTGATATTTACCAATATTTTTAGACTCGTTAAAACTGAAATATTTTAGCTAATATGTTTTTCAATGACCAAAACGAATTGCCTTTGGGTTGTTAGATGTTTTCTCTAATTTTTTAATGGTCCATGAAGCGCAGTGTTGCGAAGCTAATCCGCTGTTCTTTCTAGTATTTTCTAGTGAAAAAATCAATTGTTTCAAGTTTATCGACGCTGTATATATACTAAACTAATTTTTCTAATTTTTATAACTTTTTTCGTGTATTCAGAGTGATCTGAAGCGCTGCTTCGCTTTTGTACATTAAGTAATGTCTTTTCTCAATTTCACTCACAATACCTATTAGGTGTATGTTGAGAATTTGATTGCATGTGCCAAAAATGTATTTTCTTACCCCATTGAGTTCTTGTTATCAAATAATTTTTCCACAGAGAGGGTTTTTTTGAGTGCTCGGATTTTCTCTAGTTTTCCGAAAAAATTTTAGAGTTCCTATTGGTGCAATCAACTTTTTTCTGGGTGTTTTTAGCTTTTTGCAGTTTTTCTAGTTTTATATGACAAAAACGATGTTGTGACGGTTTTTCTTCACAATTTGTGTTTCCTTTTATTTGATTGCAATCATAGTAAATCGTGTTTGTATAGCAAGTGGTGCGAAGCTCAGTTTCACTTTTGTAAAAACTTGAAATCAATTATTTATTTTTTATGAAGTTTTTGTTATTAACAGAAACTTCTAGATACTTTTTGTTTAATTAATGAAACTGTTAGGGCAATTTAAATTTGAAAAATGAGAAATGGTTAATTTTGAAAAATTAAACAAAAAAAATTTCGTGTATTCTGATATTGATCAAAATTGTTTACACTGAGTTTACAGGCAGGGTAGAAATTTAACAAATGCGAATATGAGGAGGCTTAATTGATAGGTAAACAATGTTAGAAACAGGTAAGCTTGAATGATTTACTTGATAGGTTTTTTGAGGTTTGGTTTGGGTTCTTCTTAAATACTTCTAACGGTTTTTTTTGCGTATTTCACTAAACGGTGAAAACGAAAATTTTAGTTTTTTCATGAAAAAAGTGTTTTGAGAATGTTAAATCGAGCCGACCTTTACTAACCAGAAACGCAGGTGTTATTACTGTTTCGCAAATTGGTCAATGTATAGTGATGATCTGTAACCAAGCAAAAACGAACCAGGTAGAATTTTACTGTTAAGTTACTGTTAATTTGCCGAAGATTGAAATTTGGACACACCGTAGCAGGCTTTAATGGCCCATGTGAGTTGTTTTTCTTGTGTAACGATTAGATTTTCTGATATCGTGCTCAATATTCACAGCTGACTGATTGTTCTTCTCCAAGTTTAATTAGTTGGTTTTGGTTTAAATTGGATGGTGCAATTTCACGACGCGTGTGGTTCGTTTTTATGCCTTGTGCCTTATTTCAAAATGTTCGTAACCTAACCTAATTTTAGTATGTTTATTGGTTGTCGATAAGGACTCCTAAATGTTTACTTTCCTTAATAAGAGGACCAATTACTTTTGAAATAGCCGTATTAGCCCGCATGGATTTTTATATAACAACCGCACGGTGTGAAACAAGTACAAGATGTAAAAAAGATCACTGGTAGGGTAAAAAGCCAAAACTTGATGTTCTGGTTTTAATTTCAGTACCTCCATAGCAAAAACATTCTGCACCGTGACCTCAAAACCCAGAACATCTTCCTCACCCGATCCAACCTAGTTAAATTGGGGGACTTAGGGATTGCGAGGGAGTTGAAAGAGGACGAGATGGCCAGCACCCTCATAGGCACCCCATACTACATGAGTCCAGAGATATTCCAGAACATTCCTTACAGCTATAAGGTTAAGTACTGCCATGGTAAAATAAAAGTAAGATAGGCAGGTATTTTTTCTGATTTAATTTAGCGCAAAAAAATTCAAAGTAGCACATCGAAATTCGAAATCCATACGTTTTTTGTTAGCGCTCATTTTGATTCTTTACAAAAACTATTTTTTTGTGAAGAAACTCACCAAATCGAAACGAAACAGTTGCGGACAATTTGATTGGGATGTTAAGTTTATACCTCGTAATTGCATGGTAGAATTTTCATATATTTTTTTATAAAACTATGTTCTACTTGAAACGTGTTTCCAGTCCGACATTTGGTCTCTTGGCTGTATCCTGTATGAGATGACGTCACTCAAACATGCCTTCACAGCCCACGCATTCAGCTCACTAGTCCATAAAATCATCAACGGAGAGGTAAAATTATATATTTAATTTTTAAAAAAAACTTGAAGATTCATAAGTTTGGAAAGATTTTCACAGTTCTTACTAAAAGCGATGAACAGATTTTGGTTTTAGTCTATTATTTCAACAGACAGCCTTAGTTTTGTGAGAATAACAGTTTTTTTATCGACAGCCAAAATTTGTTTGCTTAGTTTTTTATGAAATTTTTGCTTTGTTTGCTGTTGTCAAGGAAGTTTTCTTGAGATATTGTAACACAAGCCATGTTGATCCTTGTAGTTAAATATATGTGCAAAAAAATGTCAACTTTGGCTGTTGGCAACGACCTATACGTTTTTTTTTGATGATTTTGAGGTCACATTCCGGATCTTATTTTAAAATAAAAATTATGAAAACAAAAATTGAAAAATTTAAATCTAGTAATTCGAAAAATGTAAAGATTATTAGGCGTTTCATGCAATCAGACTGATACATGTTGCATTCTCACTCATCCCGAGACACCATTTTTCTTTCAGTACCAACTAACGTAATGAATACACTTAATTATCTGTTTTTCATTTTTATGGGAAAAATCATTATAATTTGATAACGCTCAAAAATTATTTTTCTTAAGAATGAAACAACTTGAATTCAAACTAAAAGAAAATGATTATTTTCAGTACCTGTGTACTGCTCGTGTGTTTTATCCACGTGCTCTTGGAAGAAATCCAAGACTTGTAGCTCATTTTTTTGAGGCATCAGACTCTAAATCCAAAGGTGGCTTTTTTAATGTTAAATGCTTCATCACTTATTCTTTTTTGCTGGTCGAAAGAACAATTTGTCTCATACTTTTTGATTGTGCTTACGACAAGCTTCTTTGTTCCTGTGTAAAGTTGTAGTTTTTGAGCCAAAAACTTTTATTAAAAATTTGAAAGTTTCTTGTTGTTCCCTAAACCCCGAACTTCAACTGTTGGTGTTACAAGGTAACGTTGTGCCATTCGGTCATATTTGGAAGTTTGACCTTGCTTTGGAAGTTTAACCTTGATTTTGTGGAAAAAAGAATTTTTTGTAAAATTCGAATCGACCATGCCATGCTCAAGTTGCTCGCGACAACTGAAAATCAGAAGTTAATTATATTAGAGGAGAATAATCAGAATTGCGTCAGAAAATCAGTCTATAGTAAAATTGCTGTTCGCAATTTCACTGCAATCAACAACTCGAGTAGAGCTGTCTTGTTCCTGATAGAGAGCAACGCGAAATCTTACGAGAGTTTCATCGTTGGGCGAGAGAGAATCTTGATTGGCCGCGCAGACGAGTGAAGCTGCACAATGGTTCAGAAAACTAAACTCATTGATTTAAAACTACTTGTTACAAAAAACTTCTAGAGTTGCTTTACTTGTATTATTTACCTAATTCTAGAGTCGCGCCACTATGTGAGTACTTAATTTAATTTCTCGAGTGCAATTTATATGGTTATGTGATTATAATGAGATAAGGCGAGTTTTAGGTTGATCCATCTGAAATTGATCAAGGGTCCACTTTCTAATAAAAACTAATGGTATACTAGAGCTTACAACCCTGTTTTTAGTAGCGTTCGCGTGTTTTAGGTATTTAGAGACCTCGCCATGGGGGCGTTCTTATTTCTAGAGTGGATGGGTGTTTTGGTGGTGGCTTTAAACTGTAACACAATTTGTAGTTTCACGCTTACGCCAACCGAATTGGCTCCGACTGAATGTGGTATAAAACACAAGAGATAATGTCCCTGACCCTTAAGCCAATGTTTAGAGAGCCTGTTTTTCCTAACGTCATATGTGACTTAAGTAGACGACTGTTACATAGTGTTTTATGGCGCTCTGGAGCAACTGAACAGAAGTTAAAACAGATGGCCGAAAGAGTGGAGACGACTGACAAGGAACAGGAGAAGTTTATCAAGAACGATATAGAGGAAATGAAAAGGCGATATGAAACCGAAAACGAAAAATTATGGAACCTAGAGACGAGAATGGACACGATGAGCAGAGACTAAGCCGAGAGTTCCTGTGCAATACAGTCCAAATTGGATGCGCTCTTGAGACACTCTATTACTAAAAAAACGGTATCAGACAAAACGGAGAAGCAACCCGGCACAAGGGTGGACTTTGTGGAACCTCATCGCAAGAAACAGGAATCTACTCCATTGCCTCAGATCCATAAGAGCATAGGATCAGGGATGACAAAAACAGCAAAAAAAAGGAGGCGAGTTGAACTCAACAAGGATACCAAGGGATTCGGGCACACACACGAGTGTAACACCGGATGCCATGACATAGGCAAACACTTGGGAAATGATGAACAGGACATTAGAAGTATTTGCAACAAGGAACACGGAGTTGAGCGATAGAGGAGGCAAATCGAGAAAGGCCTTCAAGAAATCAAAGGAGTTTCAAGACGATTCAGATGGTTGCATAGATACCTGGGTCTAAAGGTCACAAAAACGTAATCGACTTCTAGTCGCGAGAGTGGTTTATAGTTTTCAGTTTTCCGTGCGGTTTAAGAATTCTAACTTTCAATTCAAATTTCTCAAGGTGGGTTAATTTTATTGAACAAGTGTCAATCATAGGTGTTCTTGAGTTTTCGTCACGCTCTAATTAGACCTCTCTATCGCTGTTTGGTTTTTCTGATTTCTTCTTACGTTATTTCGTTTTTCTGTGTCATAAGGAATGCAAACTCAAGTTTCTAACAGCAAGTGTCTAAAGGTCACAAAAAACGTTATCGACTTCTAGTTGCGACAATGGTTTATAGTTTTGAGACTTCCATGTGGTTTAAAAATTTTACATTTCAATACAAATTTCTCAAGTTGGCTTAAATTTATTGAAAAAGTGTCAATCATAAGTGTTCTTTACACCGTATGTGCCTCCAAAGAGCTTAAGGGCATTTTTGTTAGCTAAGAAGCGCCCATTATAAATTGTTCTAGAAATTCAAAAGCTTAAAGGGCATCTATCGTTGTCTGTGAAATTCGAAAGTTGAGATTTTTCCCAAAACGTCAGTGTTTGATTTTGTTTCCCCGCGTTTTTTTTTCCAACTGCCAGTTGGCTAAATTGTAATATATCTTTTGTATTGCGCATAGCTTGAAAACAATTTTACAAGCCATGTTAACTTTCAAGATCGAAAACTTTTTGCAGCCTCCAAAAATGCCGACTGGCTACAGTAAAGGTGTGTGTGACTTGATCTCCCGGATGCTGAACAAAGAAATAGATGCCAGACCAAGTGCCAGGGACATCCTGCAGACACCGTTTGTACAGGAAAAAATCAAGAAGTTTTTGGAGGACTCACAATCCAAACAGAAACGGCCCAGCAGGTAATTTAAATTAGAAAAAGAATTTTTTGAAAAAAAGGGCTCTAGTCATGGTGAAATTTGTTAGAATGAAAAATTATTGCATTAGTCATGATTTTAACAGAATCTATAATTGTCATTCAGTTTTTTTTTTGTGCTCCAGTATTTTTGAAGTAATTTACCGTCGTGGAAATGTCCTAACTCTGTGTGGTTCAAACGCTAGTAGAAATCGAAATGTCATTTTTTACGGATTATTTGAGGGATCAAGAACCAAACAGCTACTTTCCAGCTGTTTGGAATAACTCGCCGACGGCTTGTATTGAAAAACTGAGTTTATATTTGGTAAAGCGTTCAAAATATTTAGTGGTTAGTTACGTTACGTCTCCGCCTCTCAATCGAAAGGTCGGATGTTCAGATGTTCGAAAAATAGCCAAAAAAATTGCATGTAGTTTTTAAACAGGGGCACAACAGCAGATTGCCGTGATGAGTTAGCTGTACAGCTCTTGTGTTGGTCCTTTCCACCGTGGATAAATGGTCTTGATCTAGAATTGATTGACATAAATTGTTTGATATTACTTTTTTAGTCAGAAATCAGATTCGCTCCGATCAATTACAACTTGGTTTGTTCTAACAATTCCTACTTTTTTTTAGTTCCAGTGTCAACGGCAGGCCTTCTTCTTCAAAACAGAAAGTGGTCAAAAAAATTTCATCGGGGGGTCGCAAAAATAGCGAAAGCAGCGACAACAGTAAATTGTCAGCCGTCATTTCAACACCTGAAAATGTGAATAACTTTGATCAAGACAATATTCCCACAATAAAGAATGTGAACAATGTGGTTAGTCAGCAGGGAAAAAGCAACAACGGAAGTAGTTCTAGTCTGAACAAATCGCCAGTCAAGTCGAATGTGAGAACAATTTTAATTTGTAATCTAGAATATACGGCGAAAGTCATAGAGTTTCGAAATAATGACATGAAAAAAATATCAGAGGCTTATAGATCTATTTTTAGAAGTATATTCAATGAAAAATCGTTAAATCTTTAATTGACTCTTTTCATTTCTTCCGCCTCGGAATTTTTTTCAACTTTTTCATAATATCGGATTAATATAACAAAAGGCATCAGGCTATTCAAAATGAATTTAATCTGCGTACTTTAATTCGTAAACAGATATTCTTTTTGAGTTATTAAGTACAAGCAGGTGCGTCCTTTGTTTTTTAGTACACAAATTTTAATAAAGAAATATTTAACCAGCAAAAAACACAGCATTGAAAAAAAATTTTAGGTTTTGCCTTCCAAAGCCAAACGTACTGAGTCAGAAAGACGACCAAACGTGAGTTCCCCCAGAACCCGAAGATCATCTCATGAATCATCAAGTATCCCATCTCCGAAAAACAACACCCCCAAAAAGAACTCATTAGGGGGGTCATTGCCACCTACTGTATTGCAAGAGCAATTACCCCGACCATCCTCGAGTAAACCTAAATCAAACGTAAGGGTTCAATGTAATCATTGTTAATCAATGGCTTCATTTTTTTTCAGAATGTAGCAGCTGATAACGTAAGTAGAAGCATATCTGTCGGCATGTTTATCTTGAGTTTTATTCGGAATGCTTTGTAAATCATTCGGTTTGATTTCTGTCATGTGAAATCAAACATGTTTTATTGTGCATGTTTTATTCAGCTTATAAGTTCAGTAAATAAGCTTTATATAAAGAATTTTAGTTTTGCTGCATTCTGATTTGAAAGGGGATAGATTTTTATGTAGACCCAGTCTTTTTTGTTCTAGTTTTTTTTGCTAGTAAATCAAAATTGCTTATCAAGATGACACTTTTGTAGAATTTGTAGACACTTCAATTCAGTTTAAACTCTTTTACTGGCGCAAGGAAGACAAATTATACTTGCTATCAAGTGAAGTGGAAAAGGCGCAAAAAATCGTGAATGACTTCTTGTTTGTAAATGACTTGTTTTTTTCTAGAATTCGCAGTGGGATAAAAATTTTACCTTTCGATCCAATTTTGTCATTTTGAGTTAATAATATCAAAAATGTGTCAACCATTATAGATTCTTAAAATTGAAAGAGCTTTGGGGCCATGCGTTTTTTTGGACCTCGAAAATTAAAATTTTTCATAAATGTCAGTCAATTTTTAAAGACTCCTTGCGTTCACTGGCACAACTGTCTGTCGGCGCCATGTTTATAGTTACACAAGGGGAGCGATGAATGGAAGTCATTGCTCCGAGAATAGTTTTTTTTCATTGGTGTTTCAGGCCTCTAGGTAGAACTTTTTCACCTCATCTGTGAAAAGAAATAGAAGGGGAGTTTCGTTTTCGGAAGATATACATGCATGCATTTAGAATTTTTTTGGCCCAAACTCAACAAAATCAGGAAAATATGTGATTTGAATAGATTCTTTATTTTCAAGTCAGTGTATACAAATAATTCAACTGTAAAAAGAAGCATTCAGATTTAAAACATATTCGTATTTTTCAATTCATTGAATACAAATAGTTTAATAGAAAAAAGAAAGTTTCAGAGTAAACATTACGAGGCCAAACTGTGCATTTTGTGAATTGTAAGCGGATTCTGCAACAAAAACGCTCTTTGTTCTTCTTTTGTTCTTTCATTCTCTTTGATCGTTCCGACAAAGTTTTAACACGTTTAAAGTCTTCTCTCGTGAAGCCAGGAATATACAGCCACAAAATCGTGCGCCTATCCTGTGCACAGTTTGGCCCCGTAATGAAACATTTTCGTCATTTTCAACCCAATGTATTTAAATAAATTCCCTCTTTTCAGCGACCTGCCTCCGGGCGGCCCCAAAGCGTGAGGAAAGTGTCTGAACCCGTCAAAAGTTCAGCAACTCCGTCTCATATCAGGCTAGTCAACAAGAATTTACCGCAATATGTCAAGGCTTTCAAGATTATTTCGGCTGTTCGATTGCACTCAGAAAAACTTTTCGTTGTTCTTGATTTGTCCCATTCAATCAACCACACAGTGTTAATCTGAAAATTCTAATCTCAGCGAATGAGAAAAGCCAATTATTAGTTTCGCATAATTGTTTGTTTAATCGCAAAAACGTTAATAAAAAACGTATAATTCGTTTATTTTATCGTTATAAGGCTCACATTTAATTTGATATTCTTAGGGGTTTTTCGTACGTTTTATAACGCGTACAAAAATTGCGGGCGTTGGTCGTATAACATGAACAAAGCACTGCAATGAGTGCTTCTGGAATTCAACCATTGTTGATGTTGTTCTAGGAAAAGCAGTGCTTCTTCTGTAACTTCAGTTTCTTCAGTAGGATCAGATTCGGAAGTGGTAAGTATGTTCATAATTCTAAATAATTAAATATTTAGCGATAAAATGCTAATTAAGGCTACCTGTTAAAAAGTATGGATCGGCAGTCGAATGTGGACAAAAATTTAGTTGATGAATGTTAAGAATTATTAAAACAAAATATTGAAATGATTTTTATTAATGAATCATAATTACTTTTTGTGAGCTTGCGAAGTCAAGTGTAATAGTACGAACCTACTTTTTTTCGAAATTAAGTCGCAAATAAAAGTGCTACTTCTGGTGGCACTTTTGAATCGGCCGGCTGCTGTAGCTGTATAATAACATTATGTGCTTTGACATTTGATTAGTAAAAACCTAACACAGCTGTTTCGTTTTTAGTTCATCAAATGAACCGACTAAAAGTTATTTGTTTCAAACAGCAGAACAATGATAAAAAACTTGATTTCAGAAATTTTCCAGTTCAAATGATCTAGCAATTTTTTTGAAATGCATAATTTATGCATAACTTGGCTTTATGCGTTCCCATTTATTACATGCAAAAATGTGTCTTTTGAATTTGGTGGCACTTTTGTTACCTGGAATTGGTAATTTATTAGCATATGTAGCTGTGTTATTGGTGGCTTTTTTGAGAACCTTTAGCGTTCGTGGTTGAGTTTTTAGTGCGTGAGACTCACAATTGTTAGGTCGCAGAGCGAATCAGACACGTAGTTTTCGCTAATTTGAGGCTTGTTTCTTTTTTTCTAATTTTGCTTAATCGAGCTGCTTTTTTGTCGCGTTCTTGCTATTGTTTACGAAGCACAGCTTCGCCTCTGTTTGTAATGGTGTGATTTTAGCCTTTGAGCACGTCCGTTTGCGTGCAATCCACGTGAAGCAAAAATTCTATCATTCGAAAGTTATGATATTTTTTTCACAGTCAATTGACCATTTTTGCCCGTTATTATAAAATAGATAATTTTTTGTGAGAAACTAATCATAACTCGATCAGTCTCTCTCAAAGGTTAGAATCAGGCCTTCTCATTTTTGAAAGTCAAATATTTGATTGTTCATTTAATGGTTAGCAATCAAATTACAATCTGCTTGATAATTCTAAATATCAACTATTGTTTTTGTTTTATTGAGCTATAACTAATCAAACACAAGGTTGACGCGAAATGATTGATTACATTTTTCGAATGCTTAAGTCATGAAACAGAAGGGTCTGCATTTTGTTTTCAGCCGTTAGATTAACCAATTTCATAATTTTTCCTAACTTATTTTCAATTGATTCATTTCAGCGTCGTTCCAAAGCGCGTGAAGAAAGGTTAAGAAAGAAAGAACAAGAGTACGCTCAGAAAGCCGAGAAAGGTAAAATTGGATTTTTTTGTTAATTTTTCTTCAAAATTAGACCAGCAATTTTTTTTTTCATGCTTTTTGAGATGTTTACCTGTTTGCATTTTATCGACAGATGTTGTTTAAAGAAACGTGAGCAACTCAATTCATATCTTTTGTGATTTTTTTGCATCTCATTTTTGGCTCGGCCAACATCAAAATTGTTTTAGTGCGTTTCTTTAATTGATTTTGCTTCTTGTTTTCAGACAAAATAAAAGAGAAAGTACCCGAAGAAATTACAGAGCAGGTTAGTAACAATAAAAACAAAGTCTATCTTAATTTGCTCAATTTCTTTCATGTAAATTTTATGATATCCGTCTATTTATACTGTCTAAGATGTTTTCAAGCGACAATGTGCGAATTGAGGACACTTTTTTTAGGTCGTGTTGTTTTTTTTTGTTTTTTTTTGGAAAACTTTTTTACGCTCTAACTTGTTTTTAGCGGTTTTCACTTTGTGATTTTTCAATTTTTTTTGTTCAATTGAAGAAAAATGAGTTTTCCAATTACAAAAGTTCAAATGAAGCAAAGACCGTGAATGAATTCTAACTCCGAAAAAAGACTGTATTTTTAAGATTTCCGATAGAAAGTAATAATTTATCAATTAATCTAGTTTGTGTTTTGGTTAGCTCTCTCATAAAAGTGTCAAATAAAATTAATTCTTGAAATTCAGTGAGTTCTCGGGTTGACAAAAAATGCTAGTCATACATTTTTTTTAATGGAAAAATGCTTAGCATACAAATTCATTTGATTGCATAGAAAAAAAATGTATGAAATTAGCATGACTAGCATTTTTTCAATTAATGGAATCGTATTGCAAGCATTTTTCTTTAAGGAATTGATTGATTTGCATTTTTGTCAAACTCCAGATTAGAAAACCAGGTTAAACGGCGTCAGAATTGCAGATTAAACTACGCATTGAGATATGCCAGCTTAGTTAAGCTATTGAATTACACAGTGTTATAAGAACAAATGTTTTACTTTTTGTATATCCCCGGGATGACCAAAAATACTAGTCATACAATTTCCATATATGGAAAAATGCTAGTCATACACTTTCCATGCAATTCCATACGTACAGAAAATTGCATGAAAGGTCTATGATTAGTATTTTTTTCATATATGGAAATTGTATAACTAGCATTTTTCCATAAACCAAAAATATTTATTTTTTACATTTTAATTTCTCAATATTTTCTCTGTAACCGAACACAAATGACATGAACCTTGATTACTCAAACGTAGTAACCAACGGTTTGGCCGTCTCGCATTAACAATGCATTGGAAACAGCCTGATATGTGTTCCATCTGTCTCAGACAATTAACATAATGAAAGCAGTGAACTTTCAAATTTTGGCAATACTTTTCAAAGATGATTATTTCTAAAATTTGAGTGTTTAAATTACCAGACATTGATCAAGGCATACAAAAACATGTCATACAAAAGAAAGAGGAGTTTTAAGCGTTTTTGAAAAAAGTTCCGAAGAGAAAAGGAAAAAAAATTCCAATATTAGTATATCCAGGACTACGTTATACACACAAAAAATTAAATTTTGCATGCAAAATTTTTTTTTCTCAGAAAATGTTTGTTTGAATACCAAAATCAATTTGCAGTTGAAAAAAAAAACAAAAAATTTTTGGGGGCAATTTCAAAAATACTTTAAAAAATTTTTGTCGTCGCCATCAAAAAAATGCTAGTCATACAATTTCCATATATGGAAATTGTATGACTAGTGTTTTTTTTTCAGAAAACAAAATAAAAAAGTCAAAGTTTTCAGTCGTAGCAGCCCGAAAAACGCTTAAATGTTTTGCCAGCAGTTGAATTGATTGTTCAAAGCTTTTTTTTTCACAAAAAAAATTTGAAAAAAAATTCTAATCATACAATTTCCATATATGGAAATTGTATGGGTAGCATTTTTTTTTCATACCATTTTTTTCCCTTTTTTATGAAGAGATACCAATTTCGATACCAAAACAACTATAAAACACCTTTGAAATTTGATTAAACTCATTTTGCAAAAATGTAGGAAATTTGTATGACTAGCATTTTTCCAGGGACTAAGTGTATGAAATTGCATGATTAGCATTTTCGGTCTATGGAGGTCAACCCGGGTCGCAAAAAGGCCTCTAATTCGAAAATTCAGTGGTGAAAATCGTGGCCTGATTTTGGACATATTTAGGTTTAGATGTTGTTATTATCCAAAAAAATTTCTGACACAGAAAACGTTCATTATGATTTTTGATTCTTCTTTGTAAAAAGAGTGGATCTGGTCTTTGTTATAGACAAAAAATTGAATTTTTTGAATGCAAAAGCAATTTTGTTTAGAGAAATATTTAATTGTTTATGAAACTGGTTTACCGACTATGATGAAAGTTTCGAAAAACTTTCTTTAATTTTGAATTTTTTATGAAAAAAAAAAGGTTATTATACAGTTTAAACTGAAAGTTTTCATGTTCATCAGTTTTGAAAATTAAAAGGTCTTTTATTCAAGAAAAAAAGACAATGATTTTTTCAAAAAATAGTTAAAAACGAGTTTGAAGGATTTGGAATTTTTCGTTTGTTTGAAAAAGTGCTCTTTATACAATTTGAATAAATGGAATCTGTATGATAAGCATTTTTTAAAAGAGTTCATTAATGGAAATGGGTTATATGTCCAGGTTTTGAGGCCTTGAGTCTTTCATAGTTTAAAAGATAAAAACGTCAACCAAAAAAATCAATCACTTTGTTTATCTGTTTCGTTCACCGACATTTTTCCAACAGTAGTTTAGCTAAGTTTCAAACATTCAATTCGACAATTTTAAAAAATTCTTGTGAAATCTCAGCAAAATCTATTATTCTGAACTCTGTAGGTGACGAGAATCTTGGGATTCGTGCTTTTTGCTCTAAAAGGAAAGGTAGTTTTTAGTCGACTGATATATCACATTGAGTTAGGACCGAAGTGTATAACTCATAGAGTAATTTCGGATAGGGTACACCGTCTGCTCGTCACGCTATCTTATTTTTGGCCGGATAGATTCGTGCAACTTCTTAGTCTAATACCGATCCTAATCTTACTCTTATACTATCTAGTCTCAGGTTGTTTAACTAGTCTCTGCTAGGCTCAATAGATCTAGGGTATACTGGTTTATTGCGGCTGCTGAAGTACTCGGGAGAGTTCAACTAATTTCTAAGTTAAATTCAAATCTCTCTGGTGCTGAAATTACAAGTAACTTCAGCACTTACAAATAAGTGGGTTGTTAGTTAGATGGATCATGATTGGTTAATATTAAATACTTTACATTGGTAAAATATCTAATTTATCCAATCATAAAATGTAGTTTAGATCAGGTTCCAACATTGCAGCCTTTTTTAAAATAATTTTTCGAGCTGCTTCGAAAAGTTTCTTTTTATACTTCTGAGAGTCATGAAAAGACATTTTGAATTTTTTTGGGGACGAAGTTATGGCGAGTGCGACTATAATTGATGGATAATATTTTCGATATTTGCAATTAACTAAGCAGATATTTTTACCCTTTTCGCCCAGAAAGCGTTACAATACTTGGCCTTTCTTCCTAAGTGATGATGACCGAAGTGAGATTATACTCGAATAAGTCGTGTTTTTTTTCACTTGTTCACACTTATTTTCGGAAAACAGGTATATCAAAAAAATGCAATAAAATTTTTAAATGTTTTTCAGAGGGCTCTTAAGCGATGAATTTGCTGTGTGCAACTAGTTTAGAAAATAAGTTTTTTGTCATTGTTATTTTTTCTCAGTTGATACGCTTCTCTGATATTTTCATTATCCGTCTGTTGCCTCGGCTGCTTTTCATCCAAGATAATCATCTCTCACCAACAAGGTGTAAGCAACGCTTTTAGTTAAGATAGATGTAGTGTTTAAATACCTTTTTATAATTTGTGCAAAAATTGGGGTGTGCATTTAAGAGTAGCTGCCTACGAGGTCATTTTTCCTCATGTAAACAACCCTTTTTGCACAATTTTTTCTTCGGGACCTTACAGAAATGAGATATTTTTTACTTAACGTCGACGCATCATGTATATTCGAAGTTTCCTTGTTGCAACAGCATATTCAAATTAGCCTTTGTTTGCGCTCAAATGTTTCTGGCGTTATTCTTTTTATTAAAAAACTATCAGCAAAACAGGGGCGGATCCAGGATTTTCTCGAGGGGGTGGATTTTCTTTAAAAAATCGAAAATTTTGTCGGCTTTGTTTTAGGTCGACCAAATGGGTTTTCTGAGCTCTCCCAAATCACTATAAAGACCCATTTTGAGCATTTTTTTTGCGCCGGAGGCAAATTTTTGAAAAAAAAAGAACATAAAAGACGTTTTTAGGCATTTCTTGGAAAATTTTGACCAAAAAATCGCGTTTTTCCGGAGCGCACTCCCCCCTCAAAATTAGTATACATTGGCGTCAAAGGCGCCTTTTGAAAGTTTTTAGTGTGCGTCACCAAAAATTGATATATCAAAATAGTACTACGTGGGGACCCTTTGGGTCGGCAGGGGGTCGAGTCTCTGAGGTGGAGGCGTCTTCCCCCCCCCCTGAATCCGCTGGTGCAGCAAATAAAAACTATCTGTTCTCCCGAATCGGGTCATTTTTACCATAAAAAAGTATGCAAGATTTTGAGACTCTGAGGTCGTTTTTTCTCCCTAAAATTGCTTCTTGAATTTTTGAACATTGTATGTTGCCTTATTTTTAATGATCAAATTTTCGAAAACAACGAAGAAAAAAGGAATACTGATTTGAAACTTTTTTTCACAGGAAGAAGTGTTGAAGCCTCATAGTAGCAATTCAAACGGCAACAAAGAAGTCAGCCGAAATCATTCTCCCGATGACGACGAAACAGACTCGACTTGTCCAAACAGCGAACTAGATCAGACTATAGTTCAACGGCCAGTGATATCGGACAATTGTGTACAGAACTCTTCCCCGAGTCAAGTCGAGAGTCCGCCTTCTGGGTCTCCGAGATGGGCCGAGAAGCTCCCGGTTGAGAGAAAAGAATCAGTTTCAAGTGATGTTAGCCTCGAAACAAACATGTAAGTGACCTTTTTTAACCAAATTCAAATTTTTTCTACAATTCTTTTCGTTGCCTTGTTTCTAAATGATCTTTTTTGTACTTCTCAATTCCTATGTCTTATTAACTTTCACGTTTCAAAAATTGAAGTTGATTGAAATGTAAATTAATATATATTTTTTTGCTTTTTATAGTCGGAAGAGACTAAACAGTTTTTTTTGGTCGCAAAAAATCAGGTGTATGGTTCAAAAGGGGTCTAGTGATATTCAAACGCTATTTAAAGCTTTCCAAAACTTTTTGCTTGTGTCGAGAAAAACGGGTTCAAAAGTTCTAGTTCAAATATTTTGCAGGGTAATGTAATATATATTTTTTCCGCAAACGGTATATGATCTATCAAACACTTTTGCACTTTTCTTTAGATCCGCTGTTTGTAATATGTTCGGTTTTTCGTGTTAGAACTGGTTCATGTTTTTGTAGTGAAGTTTAAGGTCACAATTTTTTGCCTCTTTTTTTAACATTGCTTATTTTAAGCATTCTTGTTTTTTGGATATATTTTTTCGTATGATGTCATAATTATGTAAGTTTCACTATAAGCAACTTAAATTATTTGTTCGTTTCAGAGAACTGGAGGAATTTGTGAATGTTTTGAGTGAAACTCTCAACCAGCAACAACTTGACAATGAGTTCCCCGAACTTGTAAACAACCATGATCAAAAAGTCAACATATCAGGTAAGATATAAAAACGGCAAGCTTCTTTTTTTCAAGAAACAAATTGCTATGGTATAGTTTACGCCAATTATCACTGTTGAAAACCGATTTGACGCGTCTAAATGAAATTATGACTGTAGTAGGTACATCTGCGAGTTGAAGTTTCTGGACCATCGTCAAGTTTTCAGTTCTTCGAAAATGAAATTCAAATTTTGAATATGCCAATGAAAATTTGAGCATATCACAATTATTTGGAATTTTTTCGACCGTTCACAAGAAATTTGTTTGTTAATAGGATAGAAATTGTTGCGAGTGACTTATATTTCAGTTTTTGGAGTTTCTTGACTAATTTTCATGAATATTATTTTTTACGCATAACAGTTTCAAATGTAAGATAAATTGAACAATCTCGCCAAGTTTAAAGCAAAAAATAGAGCCCAAAATTTGGGTAAACGTTTCCCTTGAACTCAAGAACGTCCAAACAAAAGGAAAATGTTGAATTGATTTTATTTTCTATCGCCATAATTTTTGTCTCGGCAATGATTTTAAAAATCTAGCGTTCTCCCATCAAGTGATCGCCTGCTGGTCTTAAATCATCTGTCTTCCATCTAATTTTAAAAACGCGTTTTAGAAGGTTATGCCGTTTTTCAGGAAGATAGGTCACTTCATTGGTCACTAAAGGGACAAGTGGGTGCTTGATTGATAGTAGACGTTTATTCGAGTTGTTTTCAGCAAAAACTCTTGAGCCTGGAATGATGCAGACGATCACTATGAGTGCGAAGCTGAAAGATAAGGTGGCAGTTATTGAGAGGGAATTGGAAAATGTGTTCGAGGAGGAAACGATTAAAGTATGCGTGCATTTATTACTGAATTCAAATTCAACCGACAATGGGGAAAACACAGAAGTAAGTAGTGCACTTTTTTTTTCAACATTATTATCTTGTTAATCATTTTTATTGATGATGATTATAATAACGACGATTAATTTTGTTAAACTTAAGTTTGACATTTTTTTTTGTCTTCCTTTTTTATAATCATAATCAGTAATTTTTCTAGAAATCTTATTGAGTTTGTTCTTAAATTTTATAGTGTTCTTTTTTTGGATGCGGTTGAAAATATGTTAAGTTTAGAAATTTTTTCATCCAATGATGTTTGGTTGATTTTTAATTTAGCTTATTCTGATCACAAACAGTTAAATATTTACTGTTTTTGTTGTAATTTAAGATGAGCTTAAAAGTTTCAAGCTATAAGTAACAAGTTATTAATTTTTTGTTTTTGTTTGTTTGTTATATTCATTATTGCTCTTTTTTGCAGGAAACATTGACAGACATTCTTGGTGGGGAGGAGATTTTTGAGAAATACATCGGACGTTTCTGGCACCTCATGATTCTTTCCAAGTCTGCAGCGTCCAAATATGGAATCAAAAATGCGACACTCAGAGACTACTAAACTGGGCAGAAAACGATGTTACAAAACTAAAATCCATGCCAAAACCTCTCCCTTGAAACATTTCCGCAGTCGTTTTTATCTTTTTTATTCCGCATAATTTTGAAAAAAATGTACTACAAGTTTGGCGGAAGACAACCATTGAATTTTCTTTTTTTTTTCTTCACCAGTAGTTATCTTTATCTTTTCTGTCTCATAACATTTTCTATGCAACGCCGCCCACTACTAGACAAAAAGCAAGCCAGGTTGAAACGCCCATGCTCAAAATTTATAAACTCAATTTTTTAATACCTCGAACTGTTAAAAAAAACTAATTTTAACTGTTAATTATACCATCGTGCGAAAAAAACGCACACCAAATATAATTTAGTGTCTTCAAACATGCCAAAACGAAAATTTTTCTCTAAATGGAAGTTCTGGACTGGGCAGTTTCTGTGCTAAATTTGTATGTCGACATCTTTAACCCCTCTAATGGTAGTTGTCACCTGTTACTCAGTAAACTGTTTGAAGCTTAACTTTGAGAAAATACAATTCCAGATACTGTTTTGAAAACAGTCTCATCGATCAATGTCATTCTTCGAAGCTAGCGGCAAGAAAATTAGAAAAAAAGTCATGCGTATAGAATATGCAGGCGTTTAGTAAAAAAGAATTTTTCGAAAGCAGGGATTCTTGTTACGATTAGAGTCAACTAGAGGCCCAGTTAAAGCTGAAGGTTCAAGTTCAATAATTTTTGATTGCGTTGTACTGCTGTGGAATGAACTTTCAACACGAGTGACAATTTTTGTGAGTTTGAAAATTCCCAGAACTTATATTTTTATATACAAAATTCAAGGCGTAACGCTTCCCACAAAAAAGTTCGAAAAACGGACAAGAATATTTTGACTTTTCTGAAGGCCATAACTTTTTCTTCGAAACACTAATTTTCCTGAAGGCGAAAACTTTAATGATTACTTTTCCTTTGACTGAACCCAAAATCTCTGATTTGAAATGGTAGTTTTCAAGACATGATAAATAAAAAGTTTCCAAAAAACGGTCAAAGATATTTTTGTTTGTTTCCGAGGGCCTAAATTCTTAAGAAAAAAAAACTGAGCGCAGCCACTCATGCAGAGGAGTTTCCGCAATCTGTTCCTTCTGTTGAACCCAAACTTTCAGATTTGGGAGGGTAATTTCTACGAAAAATTGGAACAATTTTGAGAAAAAAACAGTCTGAAATTGAAACTTTGACTTTTCCGAGGGCTATAACTTTGCGTGTAAACAATTTCTGGACTTATTTGCTTAATCAGAGAAGCTTTGCAAAATACGTTCGACCTATTGAAACGTTCTAGTTGTCGAGAAAATCAAGTTGTTTGAAACTGGGCTCAACCGTTAAAATAGGGGAGCATCCCACAGACCTTTTTTTGAATGAAATCAAAACCAAAGACTTGAGAGAGTAGTTTTCGAAAAAGACAAAAGAACTCAAAAAACGTTGAAGCAAATTGAAAATTCGACTTTTGAGAGCCATAACTTTCTGTGTAAAAGTATTTGAGGTAGCCGCAAAAGCAAGGAAAAAGCAGTTCTCAAAACCCTTTCTTATGATTTAAATCAAAATCCTAGCTTTTGGAGGGTAAATTTCAAGAAAAATGAAAAAGTTTCCAAGTCGATTAGAAAAATCGAAAATTTGGCTTTTCTAGGGGCCAAATCTTTTTGTGTAGAAAAACTTGGGCGTATTCGGTCAATCAGGGGAGCTTCCCTGAACCCGTTCTATCCCTTGACACTAAAATTTTTGAACTCGTAAACCGAAAACTTGATTTGATTTTTGTGTTTTTTGAAATCTTGAAGGAATTTTGAAATTTTTTGACTTTTCTCAAAAACTACTCATCTAAATTTGAAAGTTTTGTTTCAATTTCTAGAACAAGCTATGAATTGCTTAAGCAGAAATTTCACATATGGAAAAACTACTAATCACTTGGCTTGTAAGACAATAATTAAACTTAATTCTTTTTTTCTTTATAAATATTAATCTATGCCTTTTCAGTTTTTTACCTTTTCCCTAATACTAACCTTCAGTTTGTGAAAATTATAGACAGTTTTCGCCAATTCGCTATACTATGCTGACGATGTCAAACTATCAACCATCCCCGACAACATAATTAGGGTTGTGTCTGAAAATTTCTACAAATATTGTTTTTACCTCTTTTCTTTGAAGGTGACTGAGTTGGTCAATAACGCTCAGCAAAACTTGAGAAATTCAGCATGGAAAGTTTAGATTAACTATTGTTTTATATAAAAAACCATCAATGGGCAGGACGAGAGCTTTTCTATCATGTTGCTCTTTTGGAAAATTGAATCCAGTAAGCAAAGCTCAAGGTAAGACTGGGATAGAAAACGTTTCAAAACAGTGGCGGCTCATCCGTATTCATGGAATCAGCTCTACTACGCAGCGGAGCATGGTTTATCTGTCAACAAAAAGATCAACTTGCACCAGCTGGCAGAATATTCGGTAGAGCCAACTCCAAAGAATGACACTGTGGTCGACAAATATGATCTTTATTGGCATAAAATCAGTTAAAAGGAAGGTGATTTTTTCTTCATACAACTAAAACAAACTTGCAACTATTCAACCTCAAATTCGTAACTTATCATGCTAAAAATTAGAAAATAAATATCATCTTGCAGCTCAGTATACCAAATGTTCAAGACTTGACTCGAAATTCAGTCGTCGTTTAGTTACCAATCCAATGTCGTCAAACTAAGCTCCATTCAAAGCCACTTTGTTGCACTTATCGAGTCTCGAGCTGGGGTGAAATCCGTGTCTAAGTTTGTCGAACTAAAGAAGATGAAGCCTGAATCATGCCCATTCGAACGAGCCTCACTCGTCAAGGTGACCAATGGATCTCGTCAGGCTCAGAGGACCAGATCCACTTAGCTAAGTGCAATGCGTATCATACTTTAAGGCGCGTCTTTGGATTTGACTTAGGATTTTCCTACCAAGGTAAATATTTTTCCTAGCATCGCTTTTAGTCTCTGATTTCGATGAACCTTCAGAATGAGGTTCCTCTCCTAGGTTATTTCGAGAGAGTTTCGAGGCTGCACTTTCCTGCATAACTATTTCACACCCTCTTTTTTTGATCAGAATCATCGTCAGATCCAAACATATTCTCGTGTTCGAGAGAGTTTGGTGGAATCAGAGTCTCTTCCTCAAACACAACGGCTTAGGTGGGGTTCGATATTGGAACCTGATCTAAACTACATTTTATGATTGGATAAATTAGATATTTTACCACTGTAAAGTATTTAATATTAACCAATCATGATCCATCTGACTAACAATCCACTTATTTGTAAGTGCTGAAATTACTTGTAATTTCAGCACCAGAGAGATTTGAATTTAACCTAGAAATTAGTTGGACTCTCCAAGAAGACTTTAGCAGCCGCAATAAAACAGTATACCCTAGATCTATTGAGCCTAGCAGAGACTAGTTAAACAACCTGAGACTAGATAGTATAAGAGTAAGATTAGGATCGGTATTAGACTAAGAAGTTGTACGAATCTATCCGGCCGAAAATAAGAAGGTACCCTTTCCGAAATTACTCTATGAGTTAACCACATCGGTCATAACTCATCTGGTGCGACCATAAGTCTCGAATAAGACCTTAATAGCTTAGAATTAACCAAAAATAGATTAGAATTTAGACAAAACATTTACAAAATGTTATACGACGATAATTTAATCGAAATGTCTCTACGACTCAATAGATCAGAGCCAATATTCCGAACGATAACAGAACTACCCGGAATTGGAAGAAGACCTCGAACCAGAGATGACATACGACAAAGTAGAAACTTACCAAATAGTTATATGATAGTACGGCAAAAGCCAACACAAACTTTTGTATTTAGATAATTTAATCGAAATGTCTCTACGACTCAATAGATCAGAGCCAATATTCCGAACGATAACAGAACTACCCGGAATTGGAAGAAGACCTCGAACCAGAGATGACATACGACAAAGTAGAAACTTACCAAATAGTTATATGATAGTACGGCAAAAGCCAACACAAACTTTTGTATTTAGAATTTTATTAGCAATGAATTTAGATTTTCATTTGCAAACATAAAATCTTGAAGTCAATCTTCATAATCATTTCAGGCGCTAAATAAAAATATTAATATACAATAACGATTGATAAAAAGATCTCAGATCGTTTTCCTAAATTCTGCAGTAATATATAAAACATGTTTGAAAAATGTTTATTGAAAAATCAAAATAAAATTAGTAGCATGACAATAAACGGTTAGTAATCATAAATCATCCTGTTGTTCCAGCTTCATCACCTAAACATAACAGTATTCATAAGCTCACTAATATCATTAAAACACTAAATCTTTTCCTTCAACAAATTTAAACCATTTTAAACTTAAATTCATTTAAATTTTAAAATCAGATCATCAAGGCCTATCCTTGGATCTTAATTCATTTTCTATTTAATTATATTTAAAGCTTGATCATCAAGGCCTATCCTTGGATCAAAAAGAACAATTTTGTTCTCTCCCACCCACTTAGCTAGTGTCTAACGACCTCAAACGTCGATTCACTATCCCAACCTTTCTAAAAACCCAGGACTAATAGAAATTTTTGAACAAAACTAACCATTCAAATTAGGATAAACAGTGAAGAACTTCGGTTATTCATCCTTCACTTGACCCCCCTTCTTAACAAACCCAGGATACATCTTAGACTTAGTAAGTTTAAAATAGTATCTAACGAACTACTCGCGTTCTAATTATACCTGAACCTTGTGGATCGATTTACTATTCTCCAACCCTTGAACACAATCACTACCCCTAAGTAAGATTAAGTAAGTTAACACCTTAGCTTATATTAGCCACGAGAAAGTACAAAATCATTCTTCGGAATCGATATACTTTTCTCTCCAACCCTGAACAAATAGACCCAGGTTAAGCTAACCAAAAAATCGTAAGGACTAACAGTCTAAGAAAATAGAAATCATTTAACAAC